TGTCACACTTGAATGCAGTCAAGAGGATTATCAAGTACGTGAAGGGGACTGAAAGTCTTGGAATACAATTCGCCAAGAACTCCAACAAGAATCTAGTAGGATACTGCGATGCTGATTGGGCAGGATGTGCTGATGATAGGAAGAGTACGAGTGGAGGATGTTTCTTTTTGGGTCACAATCTCATATCATGGATAAGTAAGAAGCAGAATTCTGTGTCATTGTCTACTGCAGAAGCCGAATACATCGCCATGGGGAGCTGTTGCACACAATTGATTTGGATGAAGCAGATGTCAGCTGATTACGGAATGACGTCTGGGCCCTTTCTGGTACACTGCGACAACAAAAGTGCTATTGATATCTCGAAGAATCCAGTCCAGCACTCTAGGACAAAGCATATTGACATAAGGCACCATTTCATCAGAGAATTGGTTGAAGACAATCAGGTAGTAATTGAGCATGTTGTTACTGATTTACAGTTGGCTGATATTTTCACTAAACCCCTTGATCTTAACCGTTTTATCACTCTAAGAAATGTCATTGGGGTATGTAACCTTGATTGTTGAGTCAAGTAATGCAGGGTTTGACACAGGTGCTGGTTCAGGATGTACATATGATTCAGATTGGGTTTGACACTTGAGAACGCTGTGGAAAAGAGCTGCCTGTTGTACCGTCAGTTCTGCTGAGAGGTACAAGCTTTCATGTGGGTGAATGTTTAAAACCAGCAAAAGTTACAGTTATCACCTCACAAGAAAGGGTGAAGAAGTTTGAAAGAGAAAAAGAAACAAAAAAAATATACAAAGAAAAAACTGGAGAGCACACTCACGTGAATAAGGAAGTGAAAAATCCACCAGGATTGATGAAGGTACAACAGTGTGAAAGCTAGCCATAAAAAGACTCTTGAGTTCACCAGATCAGAGAATCTACACGTCTCATGTGTGCAGCTTGAACTAGGTGCTGAGTCAGATCAGGTACAACATCGCCTAAAAGGTACAAAAATCAATCATACTTTCAAAAATTTCAAACTCAGGCCAATTGTGAACTGTTGCACGTGTTTAATTGCTACTTTGTGAGTCTTGTGATACATTGAAATTCTAGGATGTGGTTTTTTGTGCTAATTGGTTGGATGAGAGATATTAATAGTACAGGTCACAAAAAGGGAAAGTGAACAAATACGGGGACCAGACGAGCAATTTCAGAAAGGCTGATTGAGTTTCCTTCTTAGTGGAGATAGTGGGGTAAAACCCTAATACAGCTTCAAGTGCTTACAAATCAAGTCCATCTCTCCACCTCCACTTCGTGATCAGTTATCTCTCTCGCTGCCTCTACAATGGGAAAGTCAAAGCAAACCGCAGCGGCAACCTCCTCAGACAAACAAGTCATGCATGCAGCCTCTGCCTCAACTCAGCCTCAACTCTCTGACGGAGAACCTGAACCATCTCCTCCTCTCAACAATCCGGCTCTCTCAATGGATCTTCCAGCCGCTACTGAGGAGCTTGAGTCATTCAACACTGCGAATGAAAAGGCCCAATCGGAGGAAAGTGATGAGCTTCATGGTAATTCGCACCCCAAAGACTCGACTCTCGAGACACTTCCTGTACCTGTGACAGCGACTACCCCAGAGGACATCATACCAAAATTGTCACCCTCTCCAACTGCATCCGCTTCAACAAAGACTCGCGCTGATTCTGCATCTGAGTTGAAGGAAGCTGACCTAGAAGCGACGGACGACGGGTCTCAGGACCAGGTGGATCTAACCTTGGCGGTTGATAACAAAGATGAGGATGCGGTGGAGTTGAGCTCGTCATCTGAAGGAACCCCATCCATCAAAGCAAGGACCAAGAGAATTCTGAAAAGATTGGGTCTTCCAGCCTCAAAAAAGACCAAGACAGGAGTAGACAGTGTCCCTGCGTCATCTCAAGATGTCGCAGATCCTCCCAAGGAAGTCACTGTCTCAGACCGTGTGAAATCCAGGAAGAAGGGAGGTCATAATGCTTCTGCATCTACACCAGAGATCAAGAAGAGGTATGATCAGTTTAAAGATCGTAAGTTCATTGCTGAACGTAGTGTTGATATAGAGGAACCAGATCAGTGGGGATATGTTGATGTTATAAAAAAGGGAGGGATGTTGTCTACTGTGACGTCTCTTGTGAGCTATGTAGAGCAAGTGGTGGCTGAATTTTATGCAGGTCTACCAAGTGTTAAGGTGGAAGATGATGATAGTCGTGTTGAAGTACAAGTCAGAGGTCANTCATTGCTGAACGTAGTGTTGATATAGAGGAACCAGATCAGTGGGGATATGTTGATGTTATAAAAAAGGGAGGGATGTTGTCTACTGTGACGTCTCTTGTGAGCTATGTAGAGCAAGTGGTGGCTGAATTTTATGCAGGTCTACCAAGTGTTAAGGTGGAAGATGATGATAGTCGTGTTGAAGTACAAGTCAGAGGTCAAGCGTATCAGTTCTCTGCTTCAGTCATCAACGACTACCTCGACCTCTCACCATTGTCTGAAGAAGAGGCTGACATGGAAGAGGTCATGGATGCTGTCACAGTTACTGAACTAGCTGAGTTCTTGACTGAGAAAACAAAGAAAACATGGGCTAGCTTGACCACTACCGATCTCTCTCCTCGCTATGGTGCCCTGATGATTATTGCAGCACATAATTGGATTCCTTCCACTCACAAGACGCATGTGTCAGTTGACAGGGCTAAGCTTATCTACAAAATGGCGCATGGTGTGAAGGTTGATTTGGGGAGCCTGATCTTCAAGCAGATTATGAATCTCGGGGTAATTCAGCGCAATGACTCTCGATGGTTGATCTTTCCTCGTCTCATTATGGGAATTCTCCAGAAGCAGCACCTTCCTCAGCCAAAGAGTGGTGAGAAATCTGTTCGTCCTGTGGCCTACAAGAAGGATAAGCGAGTTGGTGAAAACTATGAGCTACTCAGGGCCAAGACAAAGGGGAAGGGAAAGACAGCACCAGCGTTGGAGGTACGCACGTCTGCTCGGTCTGTGCGTCATTCGCCTGCTCCAACACCACCCTCGTCAAGTGGACGAACTGGTCCTAGAAAGGTCTCTGTCGTAGAGTTGGGCACTATCAAGGTTCCTCAGGGGCTGATCACTCAGGAAGAGCTTCAGGAGGCACTTCAAGACACGGCTGCAGCTCTGCGAGCACTGACTGATATCATTGCCGATCTCTCTCGATCTGTCTCTGGTTCGTCTCCCTATTACTCTGTTGATTATTCTTAATATCTTCAGTGTGTTTTTTTTTTAACCTGTGTGCTCACAAGCAGGGGGAGAAGATTGAGATAAAGGCTAAGACTATGGGGGAGCAATGTTGTTTTGTGGGGGAGCAATGTTGTTGTTTTGCTATTTCTTGAACCTTGTTTGCATTGTACTTACTGGTTGCACCACTTGCTGCAACTGGTTTTGATTTCTGTTTTAAGACAATTCGTAGATTATGGGGGAGTACTTATGTGTGTTATCTTTTCGGAGATGTATTAAGTATGTGACCTTTGTGTGTGCTTCGAATATTTAAGTACTTTTGATTACATGAATTGTTTTCTCGAGGTTGTTTGTTTGTGTGTGCACTGTTCTATTCATCTCAGGTGCTTGTGAGACGCACAGATTAAAAAGTGGGAGATTGAAGATGTATGGTGCAGACAAAGCTGAAGTAGTTCAAGGACGGAGCTGAAGTAGTTCATGAAGCACGACATGAACTACTGGGTGAAACGTGGAGTGGAGAGCTAAGCAAGAAAAGGAAGGAGTCTTTTATAAAGAGGTGAAGATATTTATCAAGGCGTGGGCTTTAAGGAAAAGGAGTGGAGAATAAGCAACCGATGANTTCATCGACTAGGGTAAGTCGTGAATTGATTAGGCTAGTCAATAAGTCAAGTTGTTCTTGAGTCTTATTGAGAATTGCTTTTCAAAAGAACTTGTAGTTGCTTTTAAAAGGATTAATCTAGTCGTATTTTTCTTGGAAAGATAACTCTTGCATTACTGTGTGTTCTAGTTTCTGTACTACACTAATCTTGCGCTTTCAAGTTATACCTCTCATTCTTATCAGATTTAAGAGATGTATAGGAGTATGGGAAGAAAAAAAGATGTATAGGAGTATGGGAAGAAAGATCATGGGTGAGGAAACAAAGGTCGTGGGTTGTAACCGTTGGTACAATTTACTCAAGCATTTATAGTTTATTAACTACTTCCTCCGTTTTAAAATAATTGATGTTTTGGTTCAATGCACAGGATTTATACACTTTTAGTTAAAAAATATCATTAAAAATATAAATAAAAACTAATTCAACCAATCATCAAGAGAAGTATGAAAATATCATTGATCACACAATCTTTAATAAAATTAAAACTAATACTCCTATAAAATACCAAAATTGATGTTTTGGTTCAATGCACAGGATTTATACACTTTTAGTTAAAAAATATCATTAAAAATATAAATAAAAACTAATTCAACCAATCATCTAGAGAAGTATGAAAATATCATTGATCACACAATCTTTAATAAAATTAAAACTAATACTCCTATAAAATACCAAAATATCATATATTTTGAAACATAAATAACTCTTTAAAAACTAGAAGGAAGGTTACAAGGATAGTACTCTAAAACATTATCGATGGGGGCTAAGGAAGTTTTAATAAAATCGGTGGTTCTAGCTCTCCCAATATATGCAATGTTGGTTTTTAAGTTACCAAAAGGTCTTTGCGAACGTATTACGAGTGCGATTATAGAATTTTGGTGGAGTAGTGGAAATAAAAAAAAGGAAGATTCCATGGTTTCTTGGGAAAAGCTGTGTAAACCAAAAGAACAGGGTGGTCTTGGGTTTCATTACATTGGTCGTTTTAATCAAGCATTGCTCGGAAAACAAGCTTGGCGAATATGGAATAATCCTGATTCTTTGGTTTCTCGGATTCTTAAAGTTAAATATTTCAAGAATGGAAATTTTATTGAATGCGGGATGAGAACACATCCGTCGTACGCATGGAGAAGTATTATGCATGGTAAAGAACTACTTAAACAAGGTTTGTATCGTCATATTGGCAATGGGGCTGATACGAATCAGTGGGCGGAAAACTGGATTATTGACACCATTCCTAGGCCGGCAATGTACCGTGAAAATAACTCGATAGATTTAACACTAAAAGTGTCAGATTTATTACTACAGGGATCCTCACAATGGAATATTAATTTGCTGCGCCAGACTTTGACGTCACAAGATGTTCAAAAGATTTTGCTTTTGAAACCAACTTTGGTAATTAACGATTCGATTAAATGGGGATATACACCGAGCGGAACATATTCGACTCGCAGTGGGTACAAATTGTTAGAGGACTTAATTGACTTTGATCAACCTCAAGGACCCTCCTTATCTCCAATTGAAAAGCAAGTATGGAGAAATTTGTGGAAAACCAAAGCTCCACCAAAAATAAAACATTTTATGTGGCACTCTCTATCTGGTGCGTTAGCTGTCAAGCAACGTTTGAACACTCGGGGTATTCCGGTTGACCCAACATGCTCTGTTTGTGGTACTGATACTGAAAGTATATGTCATGTTCTTTTTACATGTGTTAAAGCTCGGGCCATATAGGAGCAGTCTAATTTCCTAGTTCCTTTAGGAGGTTTCTCCCGGAATTCTACCTTTTTAAATTTTGTGCACCTGATCAAAACTGGTAAAAGCTCATCTACAGATGTACATATAAGAAAATTTTTTCCATGGCTGTTGTGGGAAATTTGGAAAGCTAGGAACGCTTTTCTTTTTGAAAACAAGGTTCTGGATCCCGCTTTTATCGCCAAAAAGGCCTATGAAGAAGAATCAACTTGGTGTGATACATTCACAAGCAGGGTAGATGGAGCTGGGGGTGTTATAACAGAACAGATAAGATGGAAACATCCCCCAAATGGTTACCTCAAATGTAATGTGGGTTCCTCATGGGTAAACTCAAATCACCTAAGTGGTGCTTCATGGATTGTTCGGGATGCAGCTGGAAATACAATCATTCATAGTCGTCATGCCTACTCTTGTATGCGCACAAAGACGGAGGCAGATTTATGGGCGCTTTTTTGGACGGTGGAGTGTCTACATAACTTACATTTCTCAAATGTTATCTTTGAGACATCCTCGGATTGCCTACGGATTTCCTCACAAATCTGGAAAATCACCCTAACTTCAGCCATCTCCGACACGATATAGCTTTTCTTCTTGCAAGGATAGATTCTTGGAGCCTCGATCACGCACTCCCGGAAAGGAATGAAGCTGCATCGGCAATTTCTGTTAGTGTCACCCGAGATATGCGCCCCCAGTCATACATTGCCCGAGATGCACCGGCTTGGCTTCAGCATTTACTCGCTTTGGAAGCTCAAAAATAATGGAAGTTGGTGAGAATTTGTACTTTTTCCTTATGTGCGGTGTCTATTGACATCTTACTTAATTTCTTGTTTTTTGCTTTGTTTCACAACGATTATTTCTACATGTACTAGTGTTATAAAAAAAAAAATCTTCTATTTTGGAAGGGAGAGAACCTAACTAATTATTTATATGCACAAGTCACTTAACGAATTACATTTTGACAGTTCACAAAAAAATTACAAAAAATCCAAAAAATTAAAATAATTGAATTTTTTTCCATCTCCTATTTTTCTGCAATAAAACATAATAATATTTTTTCTTAAAAACATGATCATGCAACAGTTACGAAAATCACCCACTATCATTGTTTTCTCATGATCTTTTATCCATTCTCTTATGTCTCTCAGATTCTCTCAGAATGGATTAAAATATGAGAAACTACCAATTGATCAAAAACAAAATATGAGTTAGTATTATCCTTCTTTGATTACAAAATCCTGATTCATATTTTCACATTGAATGTTCCAAGAGCCAGTTCTGAGATCAATTTATGAGTAAGCATCACAACAACCGATACATATATTATCTCCCTAGTTTGTACAATTTCGTGGGCTTGGCGGAACTAGACATGTCTTCATCTGAACCCGTTTAGGATTAATTAGGTTTGAAAAGAGTGGACAGTAAGAGAAGTGCTTGATGATTCGAACAAATATTCTTTAGAACGAGAAGAAAGAGGAGAAAGATAGAAGTTAGCAACAAATGTAAACATGATAAAATCAGAAAATGTCTTTTCATAAAGGTAAATGTCCTTCATATGTATATATTTTGTGAGTATAACTCAGAGAATGGTTAAAAAAAACCTATAACATGGTAAGATCATTATGTATTTTTTAATGAGAAAGAGCTTAAAGCATGTTGATAGGGAGAGAAGTTGTAGAATCCCTGAAAAAAATGAGATCCATGTTTTTTTTTTGCTGTTTAAAAAAAAAAAGAAAAGTAACTAATTGCGGGTTGTCATGTGTTCCATGAGATCCGTAAATAGTACAAGGGACGTCCCTTAATTAGGTTATAGAGGAGATGGACTCTTAATTTTTGGTGGAACCTGCAAATTTTAAACTATTTTTTTAGGTCTCTAGGCTAAAAGACCCCTACAAACATGCTCTATCATTGTGTTTCTGTGTCAATGAGTCAATGACAATGAATAAGGTATTTAATCCACTGTCCATGGTTTAGTTATATGACTTATGTCTAACGAGTGTCATGGACTTAATAATTGGTATCACATCTATTCTATTAAATTAGAAACATGACCTATCGATATATATTTGGTCTACTTCTATATTACCATGTTTTACCAATTAACTGCCAATAGTCTACACTTACACTATGCATTATATATAAGCAAAGAAAAAATATGATCATGAATTGTTCCACCAAAATATCTTACAACTACATCTAATTAATCACATTATTCATGATAGAATCATTAACAATACGCATTTCACTACCACTAGACCTATTAATTCAATAATCGTAACTAAAGGAATCCTAATTCTAATCAGTATGCATATTTTGTAACGTTTTGGAAATAATAATATTTATTAAGAAGATACAGATATAAAAATTATATTTCTCAAAAAATTAAAACAAAAATATATCCATCCTTTCAGAGATGGGTCAAAATCTATTATATATTTAAAAGTTATAGAAGCGAACATACATTAAATAGAAATATCATAAAAAGTTTAATTATTACTTTTCACTTGCTTTCATTCCTTCCATGAGATGATGTCTCTCTGTTACATGCCGATCTTTTTACTGTTTTCAATGGGTTTGTAAGACTACTTTTGTTCGTAGAATGAATTAATTAATTGCACGTACAAAATTAAGGAAAACCTTGGAAGAACAAAAATTAAAAAGTAAAATAGGGAAGGTTCAAATTAACATTTACATTTAACAAGCTATTACAAAAATTTATTTTATACATATCAGTATTAATACTGTAATTATAATTTGATCCGCGCCCCATGCATATGTTTGATTTAACTATTGTTCAACATAAACTTATAAACCGCTAGTTTTATAAAAAAAATTATGTATATTCTTTATGTTTTGTAATTTACATACAGAATAGAATATGTTATTTTATAATATAGATGTTTGATAAAAAAAAAATTATTTGTAACTTGATGTAATTTTATGTAATTGTCTATTTATACATTAACCTATTCTTTTTTTTGTTAATTTATTTTAAAATGAAATAACATACTAAAAGTTTTAATTTTTTTTTGCATTACCTATTATTAATATTATACGAATATTAACTAAATTGACCATACTAAAAAGGTTGTCTTCCTATAATACATGTGAATTAATTAATTAATACTAGATTTTGACCCGCGTTTTAAAAACATGGGATATTATACATTGTAAAAATCTAATAAAAATTCATTAAATGCTCTGTTAAAAATGATAAAATGGTAGATCGCCTTATTTAAATCCATCTCAATTTTGGTGAACATATTCAAGTCTCGACGTTCAAACTCATTTATTTTTTGTCAATAATTTATCCATTTAAATTCATGTATTTGTGTTGGTCATCTATTTAGATCGGTTTGGGTTTATTTTGAGTGACTAAATCATTTAATTTTTACAAATCATATTTGTATTTTATTTTTCTTACAAAAATGTCAAATTCATTTCTAAAAATTGAAAACAATGTTTAGATTTATTATTTTGAACATAATAAAATCAGTGTAATTCATATATAAAAATCTTAGTATCTACGGTTGTCATGCTTAGTGTGTTCAAAATAATGTCAATTT